CCTCAAAAAATCGCGGTGGATACGTACCGTAATCGACTTCGTGCTCAAAAAGGAGGCGCTCCTGTACCCGCGATGCGGACCCCTAGTAAAGCCGCTGCAGATGACGAATAGATCTGAGCGATGGGTGCAGCGGCACGAGAAACTTTCCTCGCTGCACAACTTACAGCAGAACCACAGGGAGGTAGACACGCATGTGAAACGCCATCCACGGTTTGAGTCTGCCAAACTCATGGTGCATCGCCGACTCCTTCGGGTTGTTGCTCTGCGACATAAGGGTTGACTTATCACGCTCCCGCGATCTCTGTCGTCTCTTACACGGGTAAGTCTGCAACCACAACTGCTCAGGGCCACAGCTTGTACTAAGCCCATGGCCTTCGGCTTCCCTGGCTATTGCCGAGAAGCGCGGGGCGTATGACGACGCAGAACGACATGATTTCTCTGACCTTAAGCTTCCACAATGTATGGCCGTCTTACGGAAGTGGCACCTCATTTCCCATGAGCTCTCAAAGTTGGAGGATCTCCGCCACTTCACAAGATACTGGGTTTGACCCTGGCGACGACGTTGACCCACGAGACATTCCACACGAAAGTAGACTCCACCATTCTCGTCGATTTGAGTCGGCGGCGGATGATGACGAATTGGTCGATCGCCGTCCGGTGACTCGCGATGCTATTCGAAGACTTGAGGACGAGGGCCGTCGCGATCGGGACTTCGCCAAGCAAATGCTGGGGTCGCATACCGCTGCGCGATAGACCAAGAGAGCTTGAAGCACGTTGTGCACTAGCTACCTCACATTAAGAACTACCGGACTCTGTCGGAGCGGCTACTAGCCGTTTAGCATACGAACGTGTCACTTTATGCGAAGTTGGAGCGCTTGGCGCCGTTGGAGATGCAGATCGTTGCATTACGTGCTCAGAACCAGTTGCTGGTCCAATTTCTTGCTGTCGAGCGTCTATGGGCGCCGCTCCGGCGCCAACCTTCCGCGTTTACTTGGGCCGGATCCCGGTACGAAATTAGCACGCCCACATAACACCCTGGCTAGACCAAATTATGAGCTTGTTCATGTCACGACGGTGACGTCGTCAGTGACGGATTTGATCCGCGCCGCATACGCAGGTGGTAGTATGTGGGTAGCGCTGCTACAAGCTCTCAGGAGCAAGGAAATTGGAAACTCGGACAAGAAATTGTCGGCTTGATTGCGCGCACAGATACACCGATGTTCGCTGTTCTGAATAACGGGTTGTTGTATTATACCACCGATTCAACGGATATGCCACGACTTGTGGTTCCTCGTGATGTTGGTTTGAAGTTTCGTATCCGCTATGAGGCTCACGACACCCCCACTCAGTGGTTATCTCTGTCATCAGAAGACGTACAATTCTGTCAGTTACCAGTACTAGTCGTCTAAGCTATGCAAAAGCACGAGCACAATGTGCGCACGTGTGAAACGTGTCCGAGGTTGAATCCCTCTCCGAATGTGGCGGCGCCTCTGGCCAATATAACGGTACCCTCCAGGCGTTCGAAGTCCATGAGTATGGACACTGTGTTTGGCCTGCCGAATGGCTTGGCGGTAAACACGGGTGTGGTAGTCTTGTGAACAGTTTGAGCAAGAAGCTCATCTTGTGGCAGTGCCGTATACCATGAACGGTGTGGGAACAGCAACATGGACTCCCGGAGTCAGTTTATTTATCACAGAGACCCACGCTTCACTGAGTAAATTTGAGCTCCAATCATTAGGGTGCTGGGCACCAAGTTGACTATGTCAACAGCGGACTATTCGCACACCGATGATCAAGTTCTGTGCGTGAAGCTCATCATTATTTTACGTTCTTTGCAACGTCTGCGCTGAGTTGCTAAAGCGCCGGAGCGCCATGCTGCCACTCGTAGAGTTTGCTTTGAACAATGCAGTGCATTTATCTACCGGTTACACGCCGTTATACGTAAACGGGCTTGGTGGGGGAGGATTAGCAAACGGCTAGCTGATGCCAGCCCCTCCCCACTGTCCGTAAAGTAGTCGATGACTTTCTGTCTACCAGACTGAGTGTCTTACGTCACTTTCGGGATACAATGGCCGAATGCCAGGAAATGCAGAAAGTAAAAGCATAAAAATTGTGGAAAAATTTGGCGTCGGAGGCCTAGTTTTAATAAATGCTAGAGACCTTCCAGTTTCTGTTGTCAGAAAGACGAACCTCTGTCCGTTTGTTGTACCTTTGAAGGTCATGGCCAATCGGGGCCTAGCGTATACGCTGAACCTTCCAAAGTGGATACGAACCCACCCGGTGTTTCATGCGGGCTTGATTAATCCGTCCCGGAATTCGGCGCAAGTGAAAGAGGAAGCGTTGGCGCTGGGTTGACGCCAAAAAGCGCTCGGCCACCCAGAAGTTAAACCAGCAACAAGTGCTGAGCACGGAGTGCAACAATTTCCGTTTCCAACGGCAAAAAGCGCTCTATTCTCGCACGAGGTGACGTATTCGCCTGCTCGACAGCTAGGAGCCGCTCCGACACAACACGTTCAACCTCAACGCAAGGCAGTCGGTGCACAAAGTACTCCAGAACCTCGAGGTCTTCCGCACAGCTGTAGGCGACATTGGAGAGATGCACGGCAGAGTGCCGATGACGGCGGAAATTGTACCCCAACGCTCGTAGAGCATCGCGAGGCATCGGACGGCGATCAACCAAGTCGATATCGTCCGCCGCCAACTCTTTTCGATGAACATGGTGACTTCCACATCTACGTGGAAATACTTGTGGGTCGACGTCGTCGACATGGTTTAACCAATAGCTGGTTAAGTGGCGGGCACACCCACACTCCGAGAACTCGTGGGAGTTTGAGGTGCATTTTGGCAAGACTGTTTAGACGACGTAGACGCTTATGATCATAAAGATTGGACACTTTGCGTCTTGTGAAGCGCGGCAGTAGCACGGGAAGCCGGAGGTTCATGAGCTGAGCTCAAGCTATGACTCTGAGCTGCTGTGGTCGTAGACTCAACCGTGTAAGAAACCACCTAGCTCGCGGGAGCATTATGGATTGTTCCAAGTGTCGCAGGGCGAAAATACGCAGAGCGTCGGCGATCTGCCTTGAGTTTGGCAAACTCAAATCCAAGATGGCGCTCAGCGCATACGTCTACTTCCTTGTGGCTTCGCTGTAAGGTGGACAGCGAAAAAAATTTCCGGGGCCGCTTCACCCATCGCCCAAAGAACTCATCTTTATCTGCAGCGATTTCGCCAGGGACGAGCACAACATGGATGGTCAGTATTGCGTGAAAGGAATCACCTCCTTTGTGTTCTCAAAGTTGAGCGGGTACCGATCCATTGGGATCTCTTGTGGTACCAAGAAGTGAACTTGCAGAGACCCGACTACGTAGATGCCTACGATCGCGTGATGACGTCTTTCGCTTCAGTATCGATCCGCCGAGCGAAAGCCGTATTCTTCACGAGGGACTAAGACCGTACTTGGATGCGAACGCTGGATAGCCGCCCATGTTTGCAGCCTCTAATAGCTGCTTCGGCGCCTCGTCGAGGCGATTGGTGATAGTCCCATTTCCCTCGGAAGCCGAGAGGTCGAGGATGGAAAATGGTGTCCGCAGATTTCAAGCTGAGCTCATGTCACGCCGTTGGCGCACTTCATCTTCCACATCATCCCATGCAGGAATCCGACTCGTAGTCCAATTCCACCAATCCATCGACGGAGAATCCTTCGCCCAGGGCGGGCGCGGTGTGTTGCGCTCAGTCGCCGAGAGCTTGGAAAGTGCTTCCCGTAAAGCCGCGGACATACTGTCCGGAGATGCACCTTGTGCAGAAGAAGAAGTAAGGCTTGCCTGCGGGTGCTCTCGCTACCAGCTAGGCTGGGTGCGTTTCATGTCGTAGACACAGTGCTCATAGAGCGGAGAAGGTTTAAAGTTGGACTTAGGAATGTGAAGCTGTCTTAGACACGCGATCCTCGTATGAGGCGACTGTCAAACGTGAATCGAGGATATTCACAGTTTTAATGGGGGAGAGTGTAACGGGGTGGCACATGCTCTTGTAAAAAGGGCAAGTCGCACAAGATTGTGAGACCGTACATAGATGTTTATTATACAGTTGGTGTGATAACACAGTGTTGTGGCTACACCGTAACAAGAAGCCATCACATTGCTGGATTGGTAGTAGTGATGCATATTACTATATTAATCAGGGAAAACTAGAATCTTTTGTACTGGCGGCTTCGCCGCAACTGAAGCAATTAAATACAGCAACAGTTTTGTACAGAAGTGTTCGTTTGCCTTGGTAAAGGCTTTAGTACTCTACACTTGTACTGGTACTTTGAAAGAACGTAAGGTCGGTATCCTTAGCATAGCTTTCTCTAAGCAAAGAGCTACGGCAGACCCGCTGCACCGTCCGTTTACAAACACTTTTTGAGGAAGTTTTATGTCATCTGAAACGCCTCACTGCGTGTTGCTCGCTTCAAGCGTGCTGTTGACCTACGTAGAGAGGAGGAAAGGTGAAGTGACGTTTTTTTATGACAACGTATGTGGTCCACACATTATGTGTTCTGGATTACAGAAATGGTAAATGTTAGAAAAAAAATATCAGTAGAGGCGATTGTGTCTCGCACGGCCGTCGGCAAGGCCGAAACTTACAAATATGACATTTTTTATCTATTTAACACCCATAGTTGGATTGATAATAAATGCTTCCAGATGCAACGGAGTTGTCGTGCTCAAAGCACAGAGAAAATTATACCATTTCACGTTTAACCCAAAGATGATGGGTGTGTGCCACCCCGCAAAAAACACAACTTTTTAGTTAAAAGGTATCATATTTAAAGTCAAGATGAAACTATAAAAATATGAAAGGTTCCTGTTCACTAATATGTTAACTATAGTGTGATAAGCAAAAAATGCAGTTTTTTAGTCGCTTGAGTCGACGATTCTTCCAATTCAAAACGTTTGGCATTCATCCACAGAATCTGCGGCACTTTGCTGGCTACTATCACACTCGCATTTGCTTTAAGTCCACGATGGCGCGTTTGATAAAACCGGATGCCGAAGGGTTTGCCTTGGCAGCGCAGCAATTGCGGTCTGGACAGCTCGTGGCATTTCCTACTGAGACTGTATACGGTCTAGGCGCCAACGCGCTTGATTCTGGTGCTGTGTTGTCAATTTTTGAAGCCAAAGCACGGCCTCTTACTGATCCACTGATTGTACACGTTTCTACCCTCGATGACGCTATGAAGCTTGTGGACATGACGTCGACTGGTCAACAAGCTTTTGAATGTCTTGGCAGATCGTTCTGGCCTGGACCACTTACACTAATTGCCAAAGCAGTACCCGAGCTACCGCTATATTTATCAGCTAGCACAGGGTTCGTTGGACTGCGTTGTCCCAATCATCCCATTGCTCAGGCTCTACTTAAGGAAGCAAAAGTGCCAATAGCGGCACCGAGTGCAAACAGATTTGGTCACGTATCACCAACTACCGCCAAGCATGTTATGGACGACTTAGGTGCTTGCGAGAATTTAAGTGTCATTGAGGCAACAGAGGAAGGATGTTGCCAAATTGGTATTGAGTCAACAGTGGTCAAGATTGTCGCGGAAGAGCGAAAATTAATTATTTTTCGTCGTGGAGGTGTGTCGAAACATGCACTGGTAAAAGTGCTTCAGGATAATGCAGAGATCTTAGGAGGTCAGTACGAGGTAGTGACGATTGAAAAAGAAGTGAAGATGCAGACAAAAGAGGCTCAACAAGCACCGGGACAGATGATCACTCACTACGCTCCAGATGTAGACACATATTTGTACCAATTCGACGCACCTGAAGAGCTGGATGCATCTGATAACGAGAATGTGAGTCATTGGGTCATCATTGACTTTCACGGTAAGTTGGCGAAATTGAAGCATCGCGTTCGGGCATATTGCGATCTTTCTCCGACTGGAGACATCGCGGAGGCTTCGCAGCGTATCTTTGATTCACTACGTTGGGCTGAATGTGTACAAGATGTCGAGCGCGTAATTATCACGGGGGTGATTTCAGAGTCTCACGAGCAGGCTGCTGCTTTGCATGATCGGATGTATCGTGCAGCATCAGGCAAGCAGCGCGCACTTCAACTCGAAGCCAAATAGATAGTTATAATAGGTTTAGTTTATTTCCAAGAAATTAACTTCGCACATCGAACAAACTTCATCATACTGAGCTGTTGTAGAGCTTTGTCTTTTCGTACGATGCACACACGCATCTCTTTTGACTACGAATCGAGATCCTGTACGTACACGAGAGCTTGCGGCGCGAGTCCCTAACCACATCAAGCACGAGTTACAATATATCATCAAAATCCAAACTAACGAAGACGTACCGCATCAGCAAGAGTAACATTCAGTAACTCAGGGCCGTAGACTTTTTTCGGATAATTCGTCGCTAACTCATAATTTCGAATCGGAATGTCGCGATCATAGAATTCAACGTCGATAAAGTCGCGCACCGTGCCAAGCGTATCGTGTGCGTAGAAAATGTGTTCAAGACGTTTACCATTGTGCAAATGGAATTTAATTACTGCCGTTTTATAATTTGCATTTGGCGACGGCGTGCGTGTTTTTGGACCATCCGTGATTCGAGCTCGTTTTGCTTCAATCTCAGCCTTTGCCTTCTCTTCTTGATTTATCTTTTCCTCTTCAGCACGTCGCTCCTCCTCCTCTTTTTGCAGTCGCTTACTTTCTGCTAGTTCAGCCTGTTCACGAGCTTCCGTCTCGCGACGACGATCAGCTTCAAGTGCCTCTTGATATTCTCTGTCTTGTTGTTCACGTAAGATTTGCGTCTCCGTTCGCTGTTGGTGAATATGACGTGCTGTCGCTAAAGTTTGATTATTGTGATCTACTGCCGCATCTAACTTTTTTATAATTTCTTCTGCCGGTACATTAGCTAGAGTAATACCATATGACATGAGCAACTTTGATCAACAATAATTGAACGAGGTTATATTACCCGTAATTTTCTCGACCACATCAATCCCTCGCGAAAGGCAGGATAGCAATGCCAAGAATGGAAACGTGGCACACCCAAGTGACAAACTCACGCCAAATCCTTCAGCATGCTGCACACAGCCAGCCCACGATACAATGCAGTCGCTATTGTTTAAGTATGTACTCATACGTTCAGTGCAGATGGATTTGCTGTAAGAAATACGATCAATTAAAGTGCTACAATTACTTCAAAACTCTTCATATGCTCCCACCGGCAAAACGCGTCGGCATCGTCATGGATGTTTGAATGTAAGAATACAAGTAGAAACTTTGATGCCGTACGAGCTGTGGAAACTGCGTCCCTAAATGATGTGTGCTCAAAACGAGGCGTCACATTTTCCCCGTATCGTCGTTGAAGACTGTGCGCAAAGTTTCGCGCCGCAGTCTGGGGATCTTCAGGCTCTCCATCGCCAAGCACAAAGCTCAGTGGTGACATTAGCAGCTCCACAAAACCCTTTTGTGGTCTTGGAGTGCGACGCGGTACAGTTGATGAGCTTGGCTCATTCGCTGGCTCAACTTCGCCCTGAACATGGCGATGCCGCAGCCCATTTCCGTTCACGGTCATTCCTACCACGACTTTTTTTGAAAAGTGCAAGAAATTTCTTTATGAGAATAATAATTATAGTGCACTTTCGATTCGATCTGAAAAATTTGTTATTGTATGGGATTCGTACATACGTGAATATAACAATAACGTTCTTCGTACACAGAAAGTAACCAAAGTAAAGCACCATGATGACAATAACTAATATGGATGAGGGTGACGAGACTGGAAAGAAGAGGTGTTATGGACGCTAATTCTGAGATAGAGCAAAACAATTACTAATGCCCTTACAGGCTCTCCGTCCTGCTCCTGAGTGAAGCGCACGTATCCATTCTCAGTGCAACGGTGCTGCCGTAGCTTTGCGCTTTGAGGAAGCGTAACTTAGGTCACCGACCTCTCGTTCTATACTCAGAACAAGTACGAGTTTAGCGGGGCGCAATCCGCTTACTCCAAATGTAATTATAGCCTTAACTTAAGGCTAAATAAAAACTGACTTAATTTATTTTCATCTGCAGCAAAGCCACCTGATTTTAAATGCATAGATTTTCCTAATATGTATAGTAAAATCCAAATACATGTTTAATTACCAA